CACTAGGCTCACTGCCATACCATTGACAGCACCTAGTAACGCAACACACATATGCACACAAATGGTGATCAGCCAAACACCACTACAAGATGCTAACTCTCTTGTGAGAACTGACTTGATGAAAAGAGAGAGGTGGGAAAAAAGAACCGTATAACAACAACAAAATACCCGTAAGACAATAAAGAAAGGGACAGAGGTATGAGGTGAAGTGACAGAGAGAAAGGAGGACAACAGTGGAAGAGTGGGGGTGAGACAGGGAGAAAGCGCAAGAGATGAGAGCTGCAGGGTTATCAGTGCTTAACAGTTCCACCCTATATAATGTTGCATTGGACATCAAAGAAATAGCTCCTTTTTGTTTCCAGGCTTTGGATATATCCCTTGTCGGAATGTGGTGTGTACACACACTCCAAGTTTAAAAGTGATGGTGGCAATGGCTGTCAAGAAAAACTGTCATCGAAAGCTGGACAGATGACAAGTGAATAATGGAAAACAGAAGAGTGGGAGTAAAAGAGAGCAAAAAAAAAAGACTACTGTTTTAATTGTACCATAGAACTGTATTAATGGTTTAATTTTAAAAAAAATGTTGCTTGTGCAGTTAGCTGAGCAGTTCTACATATGTATGTTCTACATCAATATGATTTTTTACAACATTTATTGAGCCATATACACTGCATATATGTTGTGACTTCACATATTGCCAGTGACGGATGATCTAAAAGATGCTAATGCAATCTTCTCAGGTGGACTCATAATCCACAATTTTCAGGGTCAAATTACAAGTCTTTGTGTCATGCTTTTACTTTTAATTTTCTTTCCTACAAGTTCTGACCAGAAGTGAAACTTTTTATCTTAGCTTCTATGGTGCTGTTCCACTAGGTGCGTTCACTGCTTTCAACCATGTTTCTTCTGCTTATAAATTAGTTAGAGCTTTTGTGGACAAATTGTGCTTTTACTTGTTTCATACAGAAAGGTGTGCTGTGCTGTATGTGAACTCTTAATTCTTCTGAAATCCAAATCATATACTAAATTAAGACTATACTTAATTGTTCGTAAAATATTATGATAAAGATATATATAAAAATAAATAAATTCCCCACTCGCCCCTGTGGGCGGTCAATCCTTCAAGCTCGGGTCCTCTACCAGAGGCCTGGGAGCTTGAGGGTCCTGCACAGTATCTTAGCTGTTCCCAGGACTGCGCTCTTCTGGACAGAGATCTCCGCTGTTGTTCCCGGGATCTGCTGGAGCCACTCGCCTAGCTTGGGAGTCACTGCACCTAGTGCTCCGATTACCACTGGGACCACCGTCACCTTCACCCTCCACATCTTCTCGAGCTCTTCTCTGAGCCCTTGGTATTTCTCGAGCTTCTCGTGCTCCTTCTTCCGGATGTTGCTGTCATTCGGGACCGCTACATCGATCACTATCTTCTGTTTGTCTACCACCACTATGTCCGGTTGGTTAGCCACCACCATTTTGTCCGTCTGTATCTGGAAGTCCCACAGGATCTTAGCTCGGTCATCCCATTTTGACCCCGGGACTTCCAGGTTATACTTGGCACAGATCTTCCTGTACACTCTGCCGGCCACTTGGTTATGGCGTTCCATGTATGCCTTGCCTGCTAGCATCTTACACCCTGCTGTTATGTGCTGGATTGTCTCTGGAGCATCTTTACACAGCCTGCACCTGGGGTTTTGCCTGGTGTGATAGACCCCAGCCTCCCGATTACCACTGGGACCACCGTCACCTTCACCCTCCACATCTTCTTGAGCTCTTCTCTGAGCCCTTGGTATTTCTCGAGCTATATATATATTAGGGGTGCAACGATACACAAAATTCACGGTTCAGTTTGGTTCGATACTTTGGTGTCACGGTTCGATATTTTTTCGATACAAAAAAACTTTCATGCTTTTTTAATTTGTCATTTATTAAAATTATAAATATATATTTTAACTCAAACGTACAGTTTTTAAATTTAATGTTGCTGAAACAACAAAGGGATAAAATAATAATTCTATCTGATTGAGAAAACACTCATCTTTGGAAAAGAGAGTTTATTACAGAGAAATGGCTCTTTCCAAAATAAAAGCTATACTATATGCTTCTTCTGGGCTATATTCTCAGCAGCATATTAAACATATCAGGTCCCCATAAGGAGAATCATGTGCTAACGGCATATATATATATATCTCCTCAGCCTCCCTGGGAAAGTCTATGCCAGGGTGCTGGAAAGGAGAGTTCGTCCGCTAGTCGAACCTCGGATACAGGAGGAATAATGCGGTTTTCGTCCTGGTCGCGGAACACTGGAGCTCTTTATCCTCTCGAGGATACTTGAGGGTGCATGGGGGTTTGCCCAACCAGTCTACATGTGTTTTGTGGACTTGGAGAAGGCATTCGACTGTTTCCCTCGGGGTGTCCTGTGGGAGGTGTTGCGGGAGTATGGGGTGTCTGGCCCATTGCTACGGGCCATTCGATCCCTATACAACCGTTGCAAGAGCTTGGTTCGCATTGCCGGCAATAAGTCGGACTCGTTCCCGGTGGGTGATGGTCTCCGCCAGGGCTGCCTTTTGTCTCCGGTTCTGTTCATGTTACGGGGGTGATGAGTAAGAGAACCCAGACGCGGATCGCTCGTTAAGATTGAACAGTGTCTTTATTTACAGTGAAGCAAATCCAAAGTAATCCATAGTGCTAAGTCCCTTCCGTGCTCCCCTCGTGTGTCCATACGACTTTCGTGAACAGTGACGTCTCTCCTCTCGTATCTCCGTCTCACTCGT